GACATTTACCATTTTACAAAAGTTTTCTTCTTTAACAATTACAACAATGCAGCAATTTATTATGGGGTGGGGGCCCTGATGTATTGTGACAACCTTTAAAGTAAACTCCAGTTTAGATATAGGGATGTTAAAGTGACACTAAACTCAGGAGTTAGATCTTAAAACGCATTCAATTCCCCCAACTATGAACAAAAATGTATCTTACTTGTGTATCATTCGGCTGTAGGATCCTCAAACCATCTAAATTGGTGCTGACACTGTCCTTCCTTCTGGAGGGGGGGGGCTACTTTTGATCCCCGTGGTCCCTGTGTGTGTTGTAAAGTAGTCACCACTCCAAGTTCGCCCCCGTGATTGACTACAATCTTCATACAAATAAGTAACCTAAACCGTGAGATTGTAGTCTATCACTACAGTGATGTACACTTAGGGTTAGTTCACACCATAAGCAGTGCATTTCGGTCCGATTCTGGCAGGAACACACTGCCACCTCACTTTTTTGCCACGCTGGAGGGGGCATCGTGGGCCATTGAAGTGCATGGCACCGTAGCCACGCCCTCCAGCCACAATGCGATCACCCGCATTGGATTGCAAGGCACATTGTGCCTGCACTGCGGTCCGGAGCGATCAAAATAGTGCTTGAAGCATTTTAAACACACCGCACTGCAGGGACAATGTGCACTGCGATCCCGTGTGGGTGATCGCATTGCGGCCGGAGGGCGTGGCTATGGTGCCATTCACTTCAGTGGCCCATCACGCCCGGCACAAAAGAGAGCCGCCCGCAATGCGGGGCAGTGCGTTCGACAGAATCGGAGCAGAACGCACTGCTTATGGTGTAAACTAACACTAAGCGTAACACTGGACAAATCCCAGGAGCCAGGTCACTAACGCTCCTGAGAAATGGCAGCTGGTGCTTAACTTTTGAGGTTTTCCTTTAGTTGTTTTGGGGTCCACTGCTCTTCTGGGGGACGCGGAACCAAGCCAAATTACTTCAGGATGGAGAGCGGGGAGCAGACCGGAGAACACCCATTCTCCAATATGCTCTGAGTGATTGAGACAGGAGAGCTGTACACTCAGTGCATCCCGTCTTAGCTGTCACAAGCCGGGCCGCACCAAGATCCAGCACAATGCTGTGCTCATTCCCATGTACTGGAGGGACAAGGGAGACATGTGGGGCTCTAACATAGATGTCACCTCCATACGCTATCACATTGGGGCTTGTTAGCTTTACTGCTATCACACAGGCGCTAAGTGGAAAAAAAGTTAAATAAAATTTAAATGATCAAGTAAAAAATAAAAAGTTAATAAGTAAAAACAATTAAGTGATAAAAAAAATTAGTGAAAACTGTAAAAAATAAATAAAAATTATAACCAACCCAGCTACCCCCTTGCGATTAAACACATGCATAGGACATTGTTCGTGCAGCCCCTATTCCACTGTATGCCATATTGTGGTAGCCGGGTAGCAGCGCTCTCTAACATGCACAATAAAAGGGTAAGTTCACTTTTCCAAGTAATTTGAGAAAATGGAATTACCTGCTCAGATCTGGCCTCCCTTTCCCTTCCCCCGCTATATTTACCTTTTGGCGACTGGACCTTACCCTCCACCGGTACTGGTGTATCAACTGTACCTCATACTGCCATCCGGCGCAGCCCTGTGCTATGAAGTTTGAATTTAGTTTACAAATTGTAAGCACTCAGTCAGCTGACCAATAAGAAGCGCTTCTTAGCACGGTTTTGGTTAAAACTATTTTCTGGTATCATGGGAAGTAGATTGGACCCCCACTTTAGTGCCTCAGACAAGCAGTTTATACCAGTTCAGGGGGGTAGAAATGTTTTTTAAAGGAATGTTATTACAGTGCAAGTCCTGTCAGTGACACTGTCCTTCCTTCTGGAGGGTGGCTACTTTTGTTCCCCATGGTCCGTGTGTGTGTTGTAAAGTAGTCACCGCTCCAAGCTCGCTGTCGGGATGGACTACAATCTCATGTTTAGTTTACCAATTTGTACTGAGATTGTAGCCCATCACAGGAGCGAGCTTGGAGTGGTGACTACTTTACAACACACACACGGACCATGGGGAACAAAAGTAGCCACCCTCCAGAAGGAAGGACAGTGTCAGCACCAATTCAGAGATTTGATACACAAATAAGATACATTGTTGGTAATAGTTGAGGTACTTGAATGTATTTGTAAGATTTAACTCCTGAGTTTAGTGTCACTTTAATGTATTTATGATTAGAGCTCCATTAATGTGTGTTGTTTGTATCTGCTAAGAGCTCGGCTTTAAGGAGGAGGATCATGGGAAGTACACACAGTGCAATGAACTGCAGTCATGTCCAGTAACTGATATCAAGGAATGTTACTGCTGTGCAAGTCCTGCCACTGTGCAATGACTGCTATAGTAGGAGTACCATGCAGTGAGCAGTCCTGTAAGCAGTCCATGTGGTCATGTGACCCATCACAGTACATGCGGTGTGACTGCTGTAGTGAGACACAGCCGTGTTAAACATGAGAACGCACAGTACGCAAGATGAAACCAGCACAGCGAGAGCCGAGACTGGCCTGGTGTAGCCAGATTAGGAAGACGAGTCTTATCACCGTGCTGTGATGCAATAAAAACAGCATGACTGCTACAGGGAAGCCCGGTGTACTCGAAGATGGCTGCCCCAGGTGGTGCCTTATATGGGGACACTGAGGTACAGTAATGAGGTATACTCACAAGAGGTTCATAGCAATGAGGATGTAATGAGCTATGTGGCAGACAGTCCCACATGGAGTGCTGGGCTTTCTTCATGTTGTAACAGTGTGCCCTCTGACCCCTTTGCCTTATATCCTACATAAAGTGCTGGGCTTTCTTTGTGGTTTATCAGTGTGTGCTGTGATCCCCTTTCCCCTCCCTCTTATAGGCTTTCTTCATGCTGTATCAGTGTGCCCTGTGATCCACCTTTCCCTTATATCTCACATGGAATGCTGGGTTTTCTTCATGCTGTATCAGTGTTCCCTGTTATCCCCTCCCTCTTATAGGCTTTCTTCATGTTGCATCAGTGTGCCCTGTGACCCCTTTGCCCTTGTATCTTACATGGAGTGCTGGGCTTTCTTCATGCTGTATCAGTGTGCCATGTGACCCCTTTTCTCTTAGCCCAGTACTCCATGTAAGATATAAGAGGAAGGGGATCACAGGGCACACTGATACAACACAAAGAAAGCCCAGCACTCCATGTAACATGCAAGAGGAAAGGGGTCAGAGGGCGCACTGATACAGCATGAAGAAATGCCAGCACTCCATGTACCATGTAAGAGAAAAGGGGTCAGAGGGCGCACTGATACAGCATGAAGAAAGGCCAGCACTCCATGTGAGCCATTTCTTCATGCTGTATCAGTGTGCCCTGAGACCCCTTTCCTCTTCTATCTTACATGGAGTGCTGAACTTTCTTCATGTATCAGTGTGCCCTGTGACCCCTTATACAATATGGAAGATAGCGAGTAGGGGAGATGGAATGGGAAATGCAGCAGTCAATATGTAGGCATGTGGGGAGGCAGAACACACCCGATGATTGGCATAATTTTGGGAGCTTGAATCCTGTCTAGAAAACCCCCACACTGAACACTCCGTGTACAACATGGAGTGTAGTGAGGCCCAGTCTGGGCAGAAGAACGGGGGGAAAGGTGGGTGTCACATGACAGTAATTGATATTATATAGGTTACAAGACAGTAAACATTATATAGGGGGGGTCACATGATACAGTAATTTATACTATATGGTGTGGTAACATAGGACAGTGATTAATTTAACATGGGGGGGGGTCACATAACAGTGATTGAATATCACTACGCCATATGACCTCCCCCCAGATATCAATCTAGCTCACAGGATAGTGACCCCCAATACCCCCATGGAGTAGTGATTGCTATTATACATGGAAGTGAGACACTGTATAGGTGGCTCACATGAGATAAGAGATTGATATCACATAAGGGGGGGTCACATAACAAGGAATTATATTATACAGGGCTGTAATAAATTGTGATTGGTCGGGCAGAGGGCCCCCACATATTGTTCCAAGCATACGGTCAAGTAAGGGGGTCAGTGTTGTCAGTTGAGGGGGTCACGTGGTCACCATGCGGAGCACACTGAGGGGTGTATTGAGGTCCTGCCACGTGACGCGCCCCGGGCAGGGACTGGTACGATATTCAGTTACCAGGCTGTGCCCTGTGAGGGAGGTCACGTGACCCCCCTCGCACGCAGCGATTGGTACCATACGGAGAGCTGAGGCCTAGCTGTTCTCCTCTCACCTGCTGGCTGCCCCGGGGCCTCGGCCTTGTCTCCGCTCCTCCCGCTCTGTCTCTCCTCCTCCTCGCGCTGCTCACCGACCCCTCCCGCTCTTCTGGTCGGTCACTCGTAACACCGGACGACCAATGCGCGCTCCCTTCCCGCTCTCTCCGTGTGTGTGTATGTATGTGTGTGCCTCGCGAGCGCGTCCGTCTTCCCGCCCCCTTCTCACCACGTCAAGGCGGCGCGTTACGCTCTACTCTTGTTGGCCGTAGCCCGACGCCAGTCAGCTGAGAGATTCCAATCTGGTGATTGGTCGACGAGGGGGGCGGAGCCGTACGGAGGACTAGGCCCCAGCGGCAACACAGCTACGTTACGGCTCCCACGTGCGACGGCCACGCCCCGTCCGCTTTTGTGAGCAGGGACGGTCGCCACCAGGGCTGGTAAATAAGGGGGCGGGGCGGTTGGGAAAGGTGGGAGGAGTTTGGTGGCAAGCGCTGAGAGCGCGAGGCGTTCTGGTATATAGGTGGGAGGAGCCTGATGATGAACTCGCTAGGGAGACCCAGTGAGGTCACAGAGGAGGAATTGTTCATGGAACGCCGGTTACTGTCACACACACGTGGTGGAGTGTAGGATAGCGATTATATGTCTGTATATTTATTATATTGCATACAGATGTGATAAATATAGTGTATTGAGCTACAATATGTATAATTAATATAACAGTTATGTCGGGGATATAGATACCAAACATGCCTCAAAACTGACCGCCCGTCAAATGGGGGGAAACTATGATACCCCAAAATTGTCCATAGGCCACCCATTAAAAGGAAATGCAACTGATGGGTATTGCTGCCCCCTCCAGGAGGTTGGACAATAAGCAAAGCAGAAAGAGCACAGCACCACCGAGTGGTCACACTCCTGCTGTTAAAGGTACAGCACCACCTAGTGGTCACACTCCTGCTGGTAAAGGTACAGAACCACCTAGTGGTCACACTCCTGCTGGTACGGACACAGCACCATCTAGTGGTCACACTCCTGCTGGTACGGCTATTGCACCATCTAGTGGTCACACTCCTGCTGGTACAGGCACAGCACCATCTAGTGGTCACACTCCTGCTGGTACGGGCACAGCACCATCTAGTGGCCACACTCCTGCTGGTACGGGCACAGCACCATCTAGTGGTCACACTCCTGCTGGTACAAGCACAGCCTCATCTAGTGGCCACACTCCTGTTGGTACATCACAAGCTCAGGTCCAGTCTGCAGAAGGTAAGATGTGTCTCTCCAGCTGTTTGATCAAGACGTCAAGCTCTTTCTGCAAGCTGCTGGCAGTGTCAGACCAGTGTCAGCCTCTCTTTGGATAGTGACAACAGCGGCCATCTCCCTTGGCTCAGTGCTCACAGTGGAACCCTAGATTTGGATATTCCCTGCATTGGCTGCTTTGCCAGTGCTCCAGACCCCTTATTTGTACAGCCAGCACAGCAGCCATCTCTAGGCCCAGTGCTTATGCTGGATCCCAACATTTGGATACACATTGTCAGCCGCCCTGCACATGTCATACCAGATCAGATATTCACCACATTGGCCTCACCCTGCTAAGTGCCAAGCTGGACTCCCAGACCACAGGTGACTTCATTTTTGGTGGTGAGTAGGCTGACTTTACTGAGGTTTCTGCCGTGTCTTTTAGGAGGTCTCCTGGGAGTGTTGGAGCATTTGACCCCCATATACTTATTCTATCTTGGGGCCCCATGGCAGTCAGTTTCACTTTCTACCACGTTTTCCCTGCCATTTTATTATTATTATACAGGATTTATATAGCGCCAACAGTAACAGCAAGGGAGGGATAAGTAGTCAAGACGAGCGATAACAAGGGAGTGGATGAGTAATTTAGCGGTTTCATTGGTCAGGAAGGGGCGTATTTTGGAGATGTTACGTAGGTGAAGGCGGCTTGCAATGTATATGTGTAAAGAACTTTTTTCCTACAGTACAGTTCCCTGAGGACATCCTCCCCCCTGAATCACCTGCTGAGTTGGATTCCGAGCTCGCGGTTTCTCCCTCCTCACCTTAGCTTTGTCTGCTGCACACAATTCATGTGCGGATCTCTCCCTTTCATTAGGTGAAGGGGAACCATTGGAAGATAATACCTCCAGACACAAAGAAGTCAAGGAGAAGCCTGATACAAGAAGCAATGGAGACATCAGCGCTTCTGGCAAGATGGAACGGCTCTGCTAAGGTCTATCCCCAATCATCAACAGTCTCATACTAGACTTCATAGAGAGCGGTTCTCCATCTTCTATCCTTTCCTTAAGGAATTGGTGAAGATATGATGGTTACGGATGCACTGATGCTGGTTTTTCGGTATCAAGTACTAGTACCGATATTTTGTTTTCGGTACTTGCCGATACCGAGTACCGATACTGGTGCTTCCGCTCGCATGGAGCCGGCTTCCTAGGCAATCAGGAAGCCGGGCAGAATGTATGAGGGGAGGCCAATTGTGATGATCCGGCTCCGCTCCGGGCCGCCTCGGGCGGGCTGGCTGCTGTGACGGCCGCTCCGCGTTCCACTGTGGAACGCGGAGCTACCACTACTCCTACAAACCACAAGTATAGCTCCAGTTGGAGCCCAATAGAGACTGCCAAATATTCTACATGCATGCTCCCCTGCTGGACTGTACAAAGTGATATTTAACTCGGGGAAGACTTGTTTGCCTACCAACAGACCTGTTCTGGGCTATTACCAGGGTACTCAAGTGCACCATTTACTTTGCCAATATTATATACTAGGATGCTATGAGGAAATAGCGTTGCTAATACTTTTTGTTGATTTCACTGGCTGTGATGCAAGAGTCTCAAACTCCCCCTTAAGACTGGGAGTGACGCCTGAGACTCACGCCTGAGAAGCCTAATTCCACATCTCCTGTCACTCCCCTCCGCAGTTGCGCTCCACACCAAAACCCCATAATAGGCGTAACACTAATAAGTTCTTACCCTCACCGTGATCTAGATGTGCTAGGGATCTGAAATTTTGCAGGTTTATAGGGGGATATCTTTGTAATAGGCATGCCCATTTTTGTTTTTGTAGGCCGTGGTGAATTATAGTTAGAGCCAAGAGAAATGGAGTAGGTGTCATGCCGGACAAAGTTGAATACCGAGCCGTGATTAGGTTCCTCCACCTTCAAGGGAAATCTGCCCAAATAATCCATGAAGAGATGTCAGCTGTGTATGGAGAGGACTGTCCATCATATGAGACTGTCAAACGATGGAAGAGAGAATTCCAGTGCGGTCGCGATACACGATGACCCAAGGGAAGGTCGTCTGTCAACTGCCAATTTAAGACGGTTCTTGATGAACCAGCTGAAATTCGGACAGTGGGTGCCCCTGTTGACACCCTTCCGGCCACCATTCCTCTGTCAGAAGATCGTAGAAGCCGGTTGGAAAATCTTCGGCCAACTGGTGCTTGCAGCCAATCAGTGCTAGCCATTGTCAGCATACAAAGCTCACTGCAGGAGATTCATCCATCCACACTGTTCAGTGATCCCTGATCTCAGTTTCACAAGGCTACATATCCCATCATGCATTGCTTCCAGCAAGAAATGGTGATTTTACATTGCTCATGTACATTGTAATGGGGCCCTTCTGTAGCGTTCCTACCTCGTAGCCTGCTTCCGGCACCACGAGCGGCTCTGTCGGAGCTCGAGTGACGTCACGAACGGCGACGTCACCGAACTCCTCCCCTGCTTCCTATTTAGGGCAACAGAATAATTTGCCTGGCGTTCGTGCTAGGAGCCTGACACCAGGCAAATACCAGGCAACACATTACCCGCTATTGGGCCGGATAGAGCCCCATCTCGCACCCACATTATTGGGTCGGACAGCGCCCGTCTCTCCCCACCATATTGGGCCAGATAGAGCCCTTCTCACCCCACTCTATTGGGCCGGACAAAGCCCCTCCTCCAAGGCTGGCTCAGCCTCTCCACGGCTCCACCCCTGTCTAAACCTCCTGACAAGAGAGATCCTCTCTCCTGTGCCATCAGAACAGGGAAGATCCACACTTCACCATCAAGGCCACAGGGTGGCAGCATCGCACCCCAGATCTACTCACCGCAAGTATCTCACACCAATAGAGCATATTACTAAGAACTGCCATTGCATAAAGGATATACTGTGAACTGCCATTGCATAGAGGATATACTGTGAACTGCCATTGCATAGAGGATATACTGTGAATTGCCATTGCATAGAGGAGATTACTGTGAACTGCCATTGCATAGAGCTTAATACCTTGAACTGCCGTATAATATCAGTAATAACACTAGCTCCTAATATTGCTCCCAATCTCACTGTATACAGACCTAAACCTAATAAAACCACTTGCATACTAAATCTCACCTGAGTCTTCCACACTAACTACCACTATAGTCCTTTGAAGCTGAGATCCACACCATCCACTACAGCTCTACCTACCTCATTACACCTTCTCCCTGTGACCACCAGTGTAATGGGACTATTACCCCACTGACCACCAATGCAAGGTGGACTTTCTCCCATTGGCCACCAATCTAAGAGGGCCTTTCTCTGCTGACCACTGATTTAAAGGAGCTATTCTGACTCCGATCGTTGTGATAGCGAAATATATCCCTTGCTGAGACCTCTATGCCTGGCCTGTATAAGCAGATATACTCACTGCGGACAATCCTCAATACCGATTCATTCAAAAGAGGTGTTTATTCTTTAACATCAGGTTACAGCAGATGATAGGAACAGCAGATGAACGGTTATAGTATTGTGCGGTCAGAAAATGATGCCTTTCCTCCGTACTGTGCAGATTACCTGTGTGTCCTTGTTACATGTGGCTTTCAACTGTGGCCATGACACAGGAAGTACTGCACACAGGAAGAAGGGTGGGGCTACATACACTGGAAATATGTCGTCACATGGGGAACAGAAATACAGAAAAGACGTGTGTGATATCACAAAGGCCACTAGATGGCAGCATAGGATAAGACATGGATTTGCTATGGGGAAAATAGTTAGGCAAAAACACACTATAATAACTCTATCTAAAACAATGCTAATATTAACTGAGGCTATGCATCTCATATTCTATGCTCCTGTTGGGGCGGCACAGGAGCATTTCACAGAATACCAGTATAAGGGTGCCCTTAACTAATCACTGACACCTCTTATCTTTTTAGCTATCCATAAGGGGGCATCCTTACAACTGACCACATATG